TCTCCAATTGTAACCAAATGAAGGAGGAAAGGGGTATACATCACCCCAGTTGATGACAGCTGAGAAATATATAATTACCATCCCATCACAGACTGGCTTACTACCCTAAGAGCTGGGAATCAGGCTCTGCAGGCATTCTACTACTTTCCCACTATTTCTTATGTGGAACATAAACCTCCATTTATGATAACAACAGGATATTAATCTGACAACTAGCAAACAATGAGAAAAAAAGGTTGGTAGAGCGACACTGATTTTAGGCCATCTCAATACCCCTGAAAATAGGGGTTAAATGAGTCAATAAGAAACAGTATTCAAAGAACACTGTATTATCTAATGTGATTTATACAACAAGCAAAATTCAGTAATCTTCAATGGAAAAGGTCTAATATTTCAAAATTAGGAATGTTGCGATGCTGATTTTTATCAAAGTGGTACTCCATCCTATTAGTTGGAACAAATTCCAAACTCACACTTACTTGCATCACCTCAGTTTAATAATCCCATAAATGACAAAAAAGACAAACAATGAAAACAACATCATATAGCACAGCAGCTTGGTTTGGCTCCCTCTGGATAAAATCTTCAGTTTTCCCATAGTTTTACCTAGAAATCCAGTTGTAGAATCAAATTGTGAATCCTATGAGAGAGAAGAGAAAAAGTAATACTTAGGTTCTATTATTCTACATGTGCACATTCAAGTAATTGAATACACTGTTATTAGTGTATATTTTCAATGACAGTTTTTGTGTTTAATCAGTTCAAGAGCCTGCTTATAACCCTGGGTAATCAGCCTGATTACTCCATGCAAAATAAAGCAGTTCTCTCAATGAATAAAAAGCTCTTTCATTACCCAATAGACATTTTTTAAAGTCCCACAGAGTAATTAAAAAACTCAAAGTATTTAAGCCTTATTTCAATTATGTGGATTAAAAATCACTAACAATAAAACAAACATTGTTAAAAATAGTAACAAAGGTTTGTGGACTATCTTACAGGATTTTCCCATTATTCATTATAGCATTGCTTTCCAGGGTCAAATAGGTAACCGCTACCCAGTAGAAGAAAGCATTCAAGGTTTAATATGGTTAGTGGTTAAATGTTTAAATTCAATATGGTTAGCAATTAAGATTCTTTTGTTTAGATAACTGACTTTGAAGTACAGTAGAGTGTACTAAGTATTAAGAGAATATCATGCATGGGGAATAGGATGTGGAAAGGACAATAAATATGTGTGAAGAAAAACAACTCTATTCAAATAGCTGGAAAAGTCCTTAAGATCAGAGTAGGTATAGATAAGAAATATTATACTTCCACTGAAGTCTTAATGTCCTCAGATGAAAAATCCCTGACATAATTAAAAGACTTTTTTGCATACCTCAGTATCCATGTGCCTCATGCACTTAAATACTTATGGTTCTTCACTGGAGTTATGCATCAGGATCTCTGGTGATGCTCTTTACAAAACACATATGCCTAGCTCCCTCCCCTTAAAATTTTGAAGCAGTTTACTTAGTGTGAGAAATAGAGATACGCATTTACAAGGAGTTCTCTAAGTGGTTCTAGCACGAAGCTAAGGAAGAACACCACTTTCAATGTCATATTAATTTTTGAATAGTGCAATTTTAAAATCATGTGAAGAAACAATGGAAGGTTCAAAGAAGTTTGACATCCAAAAAAAGGCATTAACAAATGAAAGAAGGCTCTAATAAGAAAATATATGCATTGCTGAGCCTTTTTAGACAAGAGATAAAGGGCTTTGGGCTATTCAAATCTATGAGGTCTTTGTTCAGTAGTGAGCCTTAGAAAATTTGAGCAAAATAAATAAGTTTCCATTAAGTGGAAACATTTGGTTGGTTGGATATAAAGTGCTTTTTGATTGCATGGTTAATAAATTACTAGTTGTCGTTACCCATAGAGATTTCTAAGACTACTCAAAACAGTCATTTGTCTTACATCTTTAATACTGTTTCTAAACACAGGGCTAAAGAAACATTAGCTTCCACCTCTCTTCCTACTTATGTATTTGTAAGATGAAAATACAAAAATAAATCATAGCTATTATAAACTGATTAGATACAAATGAATGGTAATTCAGAACTTATGATCTCTAGATCTCTTTCAAATGGGACAAAAATTAAAATATTGTTCCTGATTAACAGACTAAATTTGAGAATATTAAATCAAATTTCTTAAAGTTAAAATCATAACCACTTACCATTTCAGCTAATAGCTTATTTTGACTTTTAATTTCATGGCCTATTTCAATGGAAAGCTATAAAGAAGAAAACATACACATTATTACTCATATAATGGTACTCAATTGTTATAAAGTAAAAACAACAATACTATTCTAAGCATACACTTTTTCTCAGATTTCATTGGATTCTAGAAAAACATAGTACACTCTTCTCATACTTTGTCCACTAAAATTAATGGAAAAGAAATTTAATCTTTCTACTGGTAATTAATGGACATTTTCTATTTCATTCTGATTTCATTACAATATTCAATTCTATGTTTTAATTTTGGTATATTATTCTCTGGCTTTCTTATTCTTCATTGTTTTGTTTTCTACTTTATTCACACAAAAGCATTTACCTATATATTTGAAAAGATATACAAGTACCTATATAAGCAATTTAAATCCAGACATAAGTATTTAATGTTTTCTTAATGAAACATGACATTGCTTTGAATATGTCTAAACTGACTATTTTGATTTTTTAAATATATTTTCATTATAATATAATAATAAATTGGGGAAAATGTTAGATGTTAGTGTTATCTAAATCCTAAAGCTATGCAGAAAAGAGCCCAAGCCTACATAAAATAGAAGTAATTTCAGCTGCCATATAAACCAAAATCTAACACTTTTACACAACAAATTCATCAAGGGATTCACTTCCGAGATATTTGAATAAATACAATCAACTACTAAATATTTGGCAAACCATCATAAGTACTGTTTTCAATTTAATTGGAAAGCATGTGGGATAATATTGATCTAAAACCATATTTAGAATTCTAAAGATCAGAACATGAACCTTCCCCTCAAATTTAACAAATCAAAACTTATAAAGCTAGATGGCCCAAATCACCCAACTACTTTAAACAAATGCCATTCGTGTCAAGAAAAGAAATTTCCAGGACACACAGCTTTCTTCTAATAAGGAATCTTAATTATTAACATTAGAGTTTTGTTTATTTTGTATTAACTATTTAATTCTTATGCCCTTTCACATGTTATATTTTCTAAATTATTAACATCATACAGTATTATTAGGTTCTATGATCAACTTCTTTTGATTTAATATAACTTTGAAAACAATACTCTGTTTCAAAATATGATAGTCTCCAGGCTGATTATGATTTGATTTTCCCAAAGATTATATGGAAATACCAATTAAGTTTTGGTAACATGGGTTTCTACTGAATGTTTTAGAAGCATATAACATGTTTATTGCAATGAAGAATCAAACACATATACTACTAACATTTTTGTCTAATTACTTTATTCAATACAAATTTACACAATTAATATCAGTGATAAGGAATTACTCTAGTTTCTATGTGGAATAAAAAAGAAAGTACAAAAAAAAAAACCTACACTCAGGTAAATTTCTTTTACACAGAAATAATACCAAAGCAAATCATTATGCAATAAACGCTACAGAAATACATTCATAAGGAAAAGAGTTACTTTGGATATAGTGATTAGCTAAAGCAATAAAGTAGGGTCGCTCAAGAAAAGCACAGCTTTAGTCAACATAGGAAGAGGATGACCATGGCAAAGAGTTGGCATGATCAAAGATATGGGATGGAATGGCAACAGCATACAGAAGACACAAAGAGCACTCTCATTTTTCTGGCAGAAAATATATGTGGATTCTGGATGTGCAAGAAGTCAGAAAAGTTGGAGCCCATATTTGAAGGACCTATTCAGTCAAGGTAAAGAGTGTGAACTTTATTTGGTAAATCACAGAAGTCACCAAAGACATTTCGGAGCTCAGAATGCAATTTTAAAAATACAAAGATTATTCTGGCAACAGTATGTAGCTGAGGTCAGAATAGAGGTTAAGAGATTCTCCCAATGACTCACCTTGGAAACGAGGGCTAGTATTAGAAAGAGAGAAACAGGAAAACAGAGATAGAAACACAAGAAAGCATATGACTCAGTGACTGAAATGACATTCAAAGGCAGAAACAAGAAAGACTTTGGTTTTTTATCTTAGGAGACTAGAAAAAGGAGAAGAGCTACTGGGGGTGGAAGATGGTTGAGACATTACTGCAGAATATATATAGTATTTTTCAGATTTTAACACAAAACATAGCCAGAGTTTTAAAAAAAATTGAAAATACCATATCTTTGGATTTGTCACATTTTCTAACCTACTTAAAGAGGCTAAATTTTGAGTGCATTTTGACTTTGCTAAACCACAGTATTTGAATAACCATCTTCCTCAGTAGATGCCAATAAAAAGTATAGTTTATAAGTATGTGATATATGTATACAAACATACCAATCAAAATGTATACCATGCTAACAAGATACTTACAGATTTTATAGCAGTTACTTTGCTTCTAAGACTCTCGGTGAGTCTCTCATTCTCTTCTTCACAGGCACTGTACCCACTGTGAGAATAGCCATGGTTCCCATAGTTGCCAGAAGGTGCTCCTTCACCTGCAAGGACAAGAGTCACAAGGTTAGTGTAGTAAACCAAAAGCCACTTTTGAAAGTTTAATAGGAAAGAACTGAAAAAGACCCCTTGAGGGCGTTGCAGACCACATATGTCTATAATATTCGTACTCCAAGTAAATTTTTAAAATTTAGAAACAGAGATCAAACCAATTCTTTCCATTACTTCTCTTAAATAAAGAACATTCAGTTCACTTCAATACATATTTATTAATCACTTACTGATTATTCAGAAGACACTAAAATAGGCACTGCCATACAAGGATATTGGCACACATATCCTGCTCATTAGAAATATGTTTTAATAAAAGATCTAAAAGCAGTTACATTAACTACTCATTGAAGAAATCTAGTTTTGAAGGAAAGGAAGAAAGCATCGTGGGAGGGAAACTCTTGGCAGATGGATGATGTTTTACCAGCATCTCTTTCCCTGAATGGGAAAGAGTCAAGGGGTGAAGGGAACACAAACTGAAGTCCTAGGAGAGGGAATAACTTATGGAGAATATTAGTTGAGAGTTCTGTGGCATTTTAGTCATTCTTCAACAAATATTTGAGCTATATGTCAGATCAACTACTCTTTTCAGGTGGTCCTTCTATAGAACGTATCTTCTAGGGGATGGCACTAGGAATACAGTCCCCACCACCCTAATAAGGTACTTGGTATTCATCAGGCAAACAACAGGTGCAGTGAGCCTTAGAGAGTGAATGCAACATAAATGTGCTGGGGGGTTGAAACGGGAAAGCATGGTTGAGGGTGTTATCTAACCACATTTTTAAAAAGTTGATGTCATCAGTTTCCTCAGTAAAGGAAGAAAGGGGGCTATTTGGTGATCATTTGAAATAAAAAGTAAAGAGAATAATGAAGAGCAATGACCAGGACTGCTCAGGACTACTAGGAGGTTAAAACCAACCTGGTTGCCACAATATGTTGTAATGGTTTCATTCCTCCCAGATGTTTTATAGAAGAACTCAATGGCCTGAATTAACCCTTGAAAAGCCACACTGTTAGACTGATCTAGAGCTGGAGGTACAACACGGGGGCTAGAGAAAAACAGAGTCCCAAAAGTTTGAGATTGCTTGCCAAAAGAATGCTTGAAGCATATATACGGATTATGAGAACTCTATCCATGAGATTCTAATTTAATTGGGATCCAGATAACAACACTTTAAAAACTTCCCAGGTAATTCTAATGTACAGTTGGGCTGAGAACTATCATTTCTCAAGTCTATTTCTTGAAATTTAGGAAGACAAAAAAATATATTCAAATGGGCAATAGTCTACTAATGATGTAAACCCATGTGCCCTGGGAGTTTTGCAAAAACCTCCACAATGTGGTCTCATATCCCCTACTTCAATCAAACTAGTTTAATCATCATAATCTCTTGATTATGATGTAGTTCTAGTACAAACCTTTTTAAAAAATTTTGGTCACCCTCCCATCTGGAACTTACTTCTCCCACTCTCCACTAATCAAAGTCTAGTTGAAATTCCGATGTTTCCACAAAGTACATAGTGATCCATCTCTGCAATCTCGGAAACATTCACTATCTGCAGAACTTATCTGGTATTTGGATGTTTAGCTAGCACTTTTGTACCATAATTTATCTTTGTACACAGTCCTACTCCCCAGCTAGGTTGGAAAGCTTTGGGGAGCATAAACAAGGTGACAAATGACTATGTAATTAAAGCTTACTTAATTACACAATAAATGTTTGTTGTTCAAAATCAGTTCTTTTTTCACTTTAATGACCTGGACCACTTTTTAATTTTGTCTTCTCTTTTTAGAGATTGATCCTATGGGCACTTAAGCACTGAGCCACATCCCCAGCCCCCCACTTTTTTTTTTTTTCTTTTGAGACAGGGTCTTGCTAAGTTGCTGAGGCTGGCCTCCAACCAGCGATTCTTTTGCCCCGTCTCCCAAATCGCTGGGATTACAGGCATGTGCCTCCATGCCTGTCTTAGACCACTTTCTATGATCCAAATATTCATAAAATGCATAAAAACCTGTTTCTCACAGTACAATTTATTAATCAATGTAGACGTCTACATGTATTGGCAACTTGCACTGACTTTAAATAGCCAACACTACAGAAAACGCTATTGTTTTTCCCTTTTCCATCTTACAATGAGAATGGTAACATCTTTTAAAAAATATTTCAGGTATTTTTTCCTCAAATATTTCAGAGTATTTCCTACTCTGATTAAGTAGGTTTTTTTTTTTTTAAAGCCGCTTAATAGAGAGCTTAGGACCAGAGAATGCTGTTAATAGCTGTGTATTATCATAGGGTCCATTAAATCTCCTTGTGCCTGACTTATTCCTGCTGCTTAGTATGCTGGCTTCCTTAATTCACAAAGTCAAGAACAATGTGAAGTTATTAAACCTTATCACGTTTTACTTACTGCCTTAACAGTGGAACAACCTTCAGGTAAGAAACTTTCTACGTAAAAATCGCCTTTGACCCAGATCTTACATACCAGTGCCTTGAATAATAATGGCACGTACATTTACCTTTGTAACTCACTGTTACCAACATAATCAGTAGTGTGCTTAGCACGCAACACCCACTCTTTATTGAACAGAGAAAGAGAAACCAGAGTCAGGCTTAGGGAAATTGAGCAGTTTCCATAATCACTACTTAGAGACTAAAAAAAAAAAAAAAAAAAAAACACTACTGAGTTGGCACTTGTACATAACCCAGCTCCAGATCTACTCCCTCTAACCTACCATCCAAACTTGGTCTGAATTGGACTTAAGAAACTCCCTGGGATGTGGGACAAATTACGTGTTTCCACTCGGACTGCCTCCAAAGATTACCTTCAAACATCCCACTTTAAGGCCCCAATGCCTATGACAGGAGACCAGTGGAGACCCTCCCACAGCCCTATGCCTCCCAGCAAGGCTGTTTCTGGGGTCCCCAAACTTTGAACCTCAGCTCACTTCTTACCCAGGCCTGCACGCCTCATCCTGCCAGAGGAAGGAGAGAAAGGCGAGCGAGGGAGATGTGGGTAGGAAAGGGCCGGAGTCACCCGGACCTCGTCTTCAGTCCCAGGGGCCAGAGCAATGCCAACTTCTTGCCCCAAAGCGCAACGACATCAGTGGAGCCTAAACACCGCGCTGGATGATGGCGTCACTCGCGCGCTTATTGGTACCCTGCGAGAAGGGTTGCATGGTATTCTGGGAATTGTAGTTCGCTGGCGACCAGGACCGTGTGGAGGGGGGCGTGGCGCGAACTCCTTTCCAGGAGCGGGCGGGTTTCTGGAAGAGCAGCTGCAGAACGTGGCCCTGGTTCCAATTTGGGGGTTTCCGTGGCTGAACCGCCCGCAGAGCCTTGATTTCAGAAGTTAGAGGGCAAAGTTTAACCCTCAGAATCTTCCCTGATTCAACCTACTCCCTTTCACGCCCAGTCAGATTAGGGGAAGTAAAGAAAAATTTTGTCCGGGTTTCTTATTTTACAAACAAGTAATCTGTAGGGATAGAAGAGAATAGCCCATTTGTGCCTGGTCACAAGAAGGGACCTAAGGACAGGACCCCTGCACTTCCACTTAGAACTTTTTTTTTTTTTTTTTTTTTTAACTTGCACGAAAGATATTGAAATATTGCTCGCATCTAGCAGTGTGTCAGATTTGGGGTTTAAAAACTTGGTGGGCGCTACGAGTAGAGTGGTGCTGATACAGGAGTTAATCGGAGAATTTTGTTTTATTGTACCATACGATTTGTCGTGAGGATATGATGAAATCATGGTTTTTGAAAAAAAAAAAAAATCTGGCTGTGTTTAAGCACAGCCTACTTTTTACAGTTTGCTCTTGTTGCTTTATGATAGAGGAATTGAAAGGAAAGTGACCACAACACTAGGAGCCACCAAGGGATCTTTATTACAACAGTGAGAAGGAGTAGAAAAGAAAGAGAGAGAGAGAAGAAATAAAGAGGCAAGAGAGCATGAGAAGGAGAGAGAGAGAGAGTGAAAGCGAGAGAAGAAAGAGAGCAAGAGAGAGGGAAAGCAAGAGAGAGGGGCCCAGCAGGAGGGAGTTTTTATAGCCAAAATCTAATGGGATCTTTGGGTCTGCAAGCTAAATTGTTGGTTTACAATGATTGGATCATACAGTAGTTGCTAAAGGTGTCATCTTCTGTCTTCAGGCAGAAAGGGCAGGGGTCAGATGTGGGTTTCCTTTGCACCAGGTGGGTGGGGGTCCAGTGTTCAGACTTGATGCAAATAGGTGATAAAGGACCAGACAGAGGGGGCTTTGAGTGCCTGGGTAATCCTGCAGCTAACATTTGTTCAGCCCACCCTGCAGACAACTTCACCTAACAGGAATAATTTCCATAATGGAGATTTCTGAAAATGTAATCTCTAAACAATTAGTGTTTTCTCATGGTAGTTTTTCAACATAAACATGTAGTATAATAGTGATTTAAGTTGTCTCTCTTTTTAAAGAGATCGCCTTTTTAAAAATACACACAAAAACAACTTCTAGTAAAAATTATTAACCTGGGAAATAAACTTAATCCAGTAGTGTTTTGGGAGAAAAAAAAAGTCTTCATAAAAATAAAATAAACCATCATTCTCTAAAAGTAATGGAATTAAACAACGTTTGCAATTAGGGACAACCATAGCAAATAAGCATCAAAGATTCAATAAGAGAAATGATAGTTGGGGTTTCTTTTTGATATACAATTTTTGACGGTCTTTTCTTGTGCTACAAAAGCATTCTATAATCAAAACACATTAGAAAATATCATCTTACTAAAAGATAACAAATGTGAAAATTGTTATTTGTGAAAATCTAATATGCTTACTAAAACCAACTATTTTCTTACTCTTTTGTAAACTATCTCTCTTACTTGGAAGGAAGACAAACAAGTAAAATAGAGTTAAAAAGAAAAATAATAAAGTATTCCAAAACTGAATTCCAGAAACAGCTGGTTCACATAGAGTTTGTAACCTAGTATTTTGCATTGAAAAGATAAAGCATAAAGGATTAATTTAATACACAGAAGTGTAATTATTAAACATGACCTCAGTTGACGTAGAGACCAGAGAGAATTCTTTTTTCCTTTTTTTCTCTTGTTCTGTTTTTTGTTTCTTTCTTTTTTTTTTTCATTTTTAAATTAAAATAACTCTTCTTGCTGACTGAAGGCAAATAAAATTCTTAGAGATGAATAGCATCTATAATTTTTTCTCTATTCTCATAGGATAATATCACAGAAAACATCTAATTTTCAGAGGTCTCCAGGAGATGACTAAAAATGACTAAATAATATCATCTCCTCTATAGTAATTATGGAAACAAGAACATGAAGAGCAAATATCTGAATTTTGGTATAAAATTACAACCTTTCTTTTTCTTGTTTGTCTTCTTCCTGTCCATTTATATTACCTCTTCCTAACTAAATTCTAGGACCAAACCAAGGGAACAGCATGCTAAGCTCTCAAACCTGACTAAATAAATGTTCCAAAGTGGTTTTTGAAAACTCTGTTATATAGTAGGTGTTTTGTAATCAGGAAGCAAATGAGTATCTTGAGCATCGTATTTGAACTGTAAGAAACCGTAAACTAAAATCAGAAAGCTCTTGACTTGCAAACAGGCTATGGAACAAAGGTTAGTTTGTAAGCCAGTTATTTGACACTTAAAACATATATTTCCTGGAGACTGAGATGATGTTTATGTCCCAATCCATCCCTAAAAATACATGACTCTGAAAGCCAAAGTCTATGTGACCTGCAAGACAGCTGAAATGCTCTATATTTTTAGTGAAGGCCTGTAGAATAAAAGTAAATTAGAAAAAGGTAGTTCATTGAAAAAAAGAACTACCACTGACAAAGAAATGAAAAATTTCAAACTATTTTTGTTATCCTTGCTTGAGAACAAATGGGTTTCACTTGAAAATTCTTAAGTATGCCAAGAAAAAACTTACAGAGTTTGCAAAGAGCCACCAACTTGGTCTTCAGTTTCTGTAATTCAGAAATATTACTGGCACTGAGGTAATGCTTCTTGACCATGGTTAATAAAAGTGAAGCAGTTTTAACTAATAGGTCTTCAGCAGAGCTAGCTACATAATTTGCAGGGCACAGTGCAAAATGAAAATGCAGTATCCCTAGATCGAAAGCAATAAAAAAAAAACCCACAAAGAAACAAAAATATATATATAGAAAATAGGAGAAAAGTACCATTAAAGATATTAAAACATAAACCCTTTTACTTTCTTATGTGATCCTCCCAACTTGTCACATTCAATTTGTCATTTAATGTCCTTCTAATAAAGAAGAGAAATTCTAATTATTAGCATGAATTTTACCCTTCATCTTGATATTGTGCAATGACAGTTTTAAATACCAACATAAAGCATTTCACTTGAATATAAAAGCACCAAAATTATTCAATTTCTTCTTAACAGAACAGTGAAACCACTGCACAAAACTAAATGCCTTTTGTGGGAGGAATTCCAGAGATTGAACCCAGGAGCCACTTCCTTAGTCCGTATTTTTTTATATTTTCTTTAGAGACAGAGTCTCAATAAGTTGGTTAGGGCCTTGTTAAGTTGCTGAGGCTGGCTTTGAACTCCTGATCCTCCTGCCGCGGCCTCCCTAGTCACTGGGATTACAAGCAAATAAATGGGTTTTACTTGGTGTGCCACTATGCCCAGCAACAGCTCTTTTTACTGCCCACCTTGATATGCACATATTCTCTTGACCTACAGCCTACTGATGAGTTAAGAGTGACAGAAAAAAAAAGGAAATATGAGTTGCTTTATCTTTCCTTCTGCTTCAGTGTCATTATTATCAGTACAACTGGCTAATAAGAGATGAGTAAGAAAGAATAGAATAGGGGTCCGCGGTCATTTTCTTCTTTCTGCAAAGTTCTGGATCAAGTAGAACATGTGGTCTTTGGGGGCTGTCAGTACCCAGATATAGGCACACTCTTAACACACTTAGCTTGTTTCTTGCTGAACTTTCATGCTTCATGAAGTCAATCATGTTCAGAGATCACTGCAAACATTATATTTGGGTGAAAAAGAACAACAAAAACAAATACTGTCCCTTTCTCCTCTGCTCATATGTATAGTACATTGTTCCATTAGACTTCATTAACAGAACACAGGTCAAAGTTAAAATTATTAAGAATGTCAAAACAGTGACCGCAGAACACTAAAACCAAGTGTAGAAGCCTGAGAGAGAGTCGTATGCATTGGCAAAGACTATACCCACGAACCTGCCTCAGTGTTGAGAGAAATTTTCCAAGGAAATGGGGCCATAATTGGTAAATTAAAAAGTGAATAGAAATATTTAAAATGAGAAGTGAAATTCATGGGGAAAGTAGAGTACCATATATATGAAAGGAAGTAGAGAACCATATATATGATGTCCTAAGGGAAGGAAAGAGCTCTAAGTTACACAGTCCTCCAAACCACCCACTGAACCAGTTTCTGTCTGGGAGCAAATGCTTTATACGGTTAATGAGCATTAGACAAGTGAGATTCTTGTGACTTAGTACGTACAGGCAGAGAAAGAAAAAGAACAGAAGGAAAGAAAGGGAGGGAGTGAGGGGTGGAGGAAGAAGAGAAGGAAGGAAAAGTCTTCAAGGTGGTATGAGGCAAGTGAGTCTTGAGTAATTGACTGTGATGGCAGGAACAAGGCTTTTTCTTGTTTCACAGCAAGATGTTTCACTTTTCCAACAATTCTTTCACAATATTAAGTTCTTCTTCTGGAAAATGATCCTTCCTAATGTCAGTTCATCAGGAAATGCGATTTTATTTTTTTCTCAATATTTGGCCCCACAGTAAAGCAGTGTATTGTAAAGCTGAATATCAAAACGGGCACTTTGCAGTGGCTGGCCTTTTAATATTCCAATTTTGAAGACGTCTCTGACATTTCTAATACATCATTTTATATTATAGAAGATAGGTTTAATTTACATTGCCTAGAAAATACAAGTGTTATGTCTTAAAAGACTTTGTATTACCTATCATTCAAGATCAATTTAGTCAAGTTGATAGTCATTTTATCTTAATAGTATTTATTATTCAAGAAGTATATTGAATTATCACATTGATACATTCAAACATGAAGCATACGTTTTGGTTTTATTCCTATAGCTCTGTTAGACACTTTGACAGACATGGAATTT